CCCGTAAAGCAAGGAACGGGGCCAAGTTGTACAGACATTTAAACGGGACCCGGATGAACAGTTAGGAGAGTTGAACTTCGAAATAAAGAAAGTTTTTGGGGACATTCCACTTAACAATGTGTAAGTATAACCTTAAAACGCTGGGTAGCACATATCTATTCCCATAAATAAATCAGAACAAAATAAAACTGGCAAATTGGGAAAGATTTCATGGGATATGGTGATTGTTGTTGATGTTACTGGTGTGTTTTTTTATCATATTTATAAAAACAGATGTTTTATCACACGATCGCCGTTCAACGTGTAACCGCTTCATTCTGAGCAAAACAAAAGTAACGGGCTGTCGGAAATTCCATAAAGCGTGATAACAACTATGACTGTTATCAGTTACGTTATAAAGTGCTTGAAATCAAGAATTTTCCCTGAATCATTGTTTTTGTTGTATGTATATATATACTAGTCAACTGGGCACAGGTAAGCAAACACCAAGCCTAACGCTTTGATAATATATGGCGATAAGTTTGTTGCTATACAGGCATTATCCATTTCTTTTAAAAAGTCCAGAAAACTCTAGTTTGTCATAAAAAATATACAATATTTGTTGGTTTCGGTACAAGTCTATTTTACCACCACGATGCATGGCGGCGATCAGTGTCAGTGGGGTAGCTGTCCCGGATGTAGAGGTCTGGGTGCTACCGGAAGCTGATTTAAGTGCTGCTGAAGTCCATGAAGGAAAATGCGGGGAAACATCGGCCTCTGAGCTCCGTGTAGGCTGTATATGCTTTCCATATTCGTCAGCAGACTCTGACTCGGGTGATAAAAATACGGTGACGGTCGTGGCAAAATGCTGTGTAGTGGATTAAAATTTCCAGCTTCAAAAAATTCCAACCCGACTTGCATTTGACGTTTCCATTTTGTCCTGTGGGTTAGAAATAAGAATCCGTAAGTCAATGGTGAATGTAAATCACATCATAATTGGTTAAAAAATCCGCCATATCTGAATTCCTTGTATGTTTTTAATTGGTGGAATATGAACAGATCTAATGAATCATCATTTGTGTTAATTTCCAAGACGAACAGGTGTACATCTATAGTGATAATTCGAATTATAGCTAGTATATGAGAATGCATAGCATTGCTGTTATTGCGATATACAGACATTGGTTTATTTTGTATCTTGAGTGGTGACATGACATCTACAAAAATACAAATTCACGACTTTTGCCGATCGTACTAAAATCGCACATGCGCGGAACATCCCATTGACCACTCGCACAATTTTGTTTCCCGTTCATCAACGTAACTGAAAATATTATACTGAGAAAAAAACAAGATTGAAGCACCCACTTATTCCACAATTGTATTCTTCGTACTTAATCAGTCGTTCCCGGTAATAACCCTAACCCTAACATATACACGAAGGCGTGTTTTAACTTACCTTCGATTTTGGTACCACGTTTTAACCTGCGTGTCTGTTAAATTTAGACTCGACGCCAAATCCATCCGCTCCTGGACCGATAGGTATTTTTGTCTTTCAAAGCTCCTCTCTAAAGTATTGAGTTGGTGATCGGAGAAGGCGGTTCGCGCCTTGCGCTGTTTCTTTGTCTTGTTCGATGGGCTGTCTCGGCTTGAACTAATTTCGTCATCTTTAACTGGAATGAATACATATTTCGTATAAGTAAAACAAACACATTAAAACTAACCCTGATAGTTATTGTCAAACACCTCCGCAAACCTATATGATAGTTCTGTGACAAGACATGTGCGACAATAGAAACTGAGAATTATCTAAAATAAAGACTAGGTTCTCATTACAAATTAATTTGAAATTTAACAGAATAAAATATGGGGTGAACAGGGATGAGTAACAGCCTTGAAGAACTGAATCTTGGCACAGATATAAAACTACGAGTCGTTCGAACCACTTGAAAACAAAGCACAATACTAGAACAGAGTTATCCCGGGTGGACATGTAATTGGGCCATATACTGAACTAATATTATATGTATATGTTATATGACAGGATTCCTGGGACAGGATGCCATTTTGAATGATAAATAATGTCACATTTAATAAAAGAGACGTGTACAAATGTAATTTGCTACAATTGAATCGACTTGTGTTGTTATTATTTTAAAACGTTACCGATTTGTGTAGTTCCAGGAAAAAAAACATAAGAAACTAGTTGTAATATTATGGTTTGCGAAGCTTGTCTTTAGAAATGTGTCCAATTGTAATAACAATTAAAAATAAATTCGTACACCTTTTTGCTTCACCTACGCCAGCATCTGTCGTCAGAATGAGTTTTATTTTCATGAAATAATTATTTTAAATATTGATTTTATTTGTTTTCATATTTGATAATAACACACACCCAATATGCATGCACTCGCTTGAAGAAAACACGTTCGTGATACAGGTTAACAGAAAACAGGCAACAGTAAACCGACCGACCGATTTCCAATGGGCTAGGGCGCGAATCGCTGCAATGAGACAGTAAGGAAGCCTTGGTATCAAAGAGCTGACCCCTGACCCTCGGGGAATACACGGCACTGTATTACGGAAAACATACTCATCTGGCAAACATACAAATAAAATAGTCGGATGAAATACTGTGTTTTATGTACACAATTCAAAGGCAACCGTACGGCATAAGCTGGTTTGGTTAACATGTAAACGTTATAATCAGCCAATTTCGGAAATACATCAGTTTTCGATTTAAATTCGCCTGAGAGGCCGACCGAATGAATACATGCGGCCTTCTGTTGTGCATACTGTATTTCTAATCATTAAAAAAGAAATGTCCGACTTAATTCCTCAATCTGGAGTTAAAGAGATGTGTAAATGCACCGCTACCTTGCTTGGCATTCGGTTGTTTTTTGATGAATAATAAGAATATCTGGTCGCACAATGATTCTACATATGGTCAATTGTATGCTTTTGGCGAGCAATATGTTAGTCACTCAAATGTAGATATTTAGTGACTAAATTAGTTTTTTTAAATAAAAACACTGAAGAAAGTGTCCGTTATATCTTTTGAACGCGTTGATTATCGTAATTAGTGACATGTACACTCCTTGAAGAGATGGCGTATTACTAGTATTTAGCGATTTGTTAATTCATAGCCAAAATAGTCAACAAAACTGCCGAATTCTGAAACGAATTCAAATTACTGAAAACGAAAATATCGTCCCCAGTCTGCATTATATTTGTAGGGGAATACTTTCAAAAATGCTGATTTGTTTGATATGATTTGGTTCACAGATAATATTATTTGCTGAGTACCGTTATCATATTCCTGATATTAATAAGTACCATCAAAATCAGATTGGAGATCACTGCGTTTCCTTTCCGATCGTTGGTTTCCGGAATGACTCGGAGATACACCTAGTCTAACCGCCAATATGTTTTCATTCGTCCAAACACGGCGCAACGTTTAAGCAAGCGAGCAGATCATATAAGACAGACTCTTTGTTGGGCTTCAATCCCTAACAGTGATAGAGGGACAGTGGTTGGGCATGTGTCAGCAGATACTATACAGCTGCCCACATGGCGTGTATTCAGTGTGTAATGGTCACATTTAGTTCATATTTCCCTCTTGGTTTCGCCGATTCCCAATGGCATTGAGATGAAATAAATAAACAAATACGACAAAATCCTGGTCACGGATTGATTTGCTTGTCCATAGCGCTAACCCTATGACGGCCTCATTAGTCAATCAGCACGATGAGACGTCGTCACATGTTACTGTGGCCACAAGCCATCAATAGTGCAATTGTAGACCATGGAAGGTACTAACGTTAGTACTAACGTTAGTACCTTCCATGTGTCGACCAATAACGTTAAGCTAGATAGTTTTCAATCAAAACAAATAAAGGGAAATTATTCTCCGTCAACATTAAACAAAATCACCTCCTCCCGCTTGTGTTTATTTGCAACAACCTGTTAAGAATGTGTAGTGACCGTCGATGAGTCTACAGGTTGCTTTCATTAAAAGGTGTTTTCCGTTACGTGGGTACGAGAGTCTGCAAGTGACCGATCACCGGCGTGTTTATTTGCGACAGTCAGTCACGGCCTTCGCATCCTCTACATGCCATGCGATGGTTCATCCGATGACAGTTTCCGTCACTGAAAAACGACTATACACGTCTATACACGTAAATTGTCATAAAACGGTAGTCGTAAAATTTGCTGTGAATGTAGTAAAGTAACTGTTTCAGTTTTCTATTAAGACATCGGCGCCAGCTTTGTACATCAACCACCTTACGAGGTACGGCAAGTACTGAGAGGACAAGTGACAATGTCCGATTATATGGAACGTTTAGAACATAAAAAAACGTACATTTCTTTTTATTGTCCTGAGATCTTTACTTGTCATATTTCATGTTTATGGTGAACATGTTCGTTATTTGTTTAGCGGAAGAGGCAGTGAAACAGAGAAAAGATGTTGTGGCTGTATTTGGAGGATTTATTTGTGTATGCGCCCGGCCGAGGCTTGCCTTACTCACCATACTCGCCATGCTCATAGCGGCCGGGGCTTCGCGAACTACAAAAACCGCATCGTCACTGCGTCTACCCAGAAATGTATTTCGAACATAAAACGGAACCATTTGTGAGCTTGCAGTTGAAATTGAGCATCAGTGGACGCCAGATATCCATTTTTTTGTATCTACGCTCAATACAACATTTTCTTATACACATAACAACGAGACAATTGGTCGAATTAACTGTTTTGCCAACAAGATGTAATATAATATTATTGAAGCTTCATTCGTTTTATCTTAATTGTTTTCGTTATATTTGCATTTAACTACCCTCTGATTCCGTTCTAAATCCGAGCAGCGTGTGCAGAAACACAAACGATGGATCTCACAATGCCGATCAAAAAATGACGAGAACACAGACGGGATGTGTTAGATTATCTATCTAATGACAAATTCTACAATACAAGATGAGTACTTAATATTAAAAGGTAAAATAGAGCTAAAATTGAAACAAATCTGATGGTTTCGTTAACAGTATCAAGTGTGGAACTCTCCGTTAGTAGTATGCCAAGAGTTCCACGGTCCGCCGTGTTTCGCTTCTATATGTCAGAACGAACAACACAGCAAAGAACAGCATAACTAAAGTCAATATTAGGTCGATTAATAGGAGAAGTCGTGAATATTTTACACAAAAAAATACACATAAAAGACACAATGGTCTACCATTCTGACGTATTTATATCACTACGTTAATAATGTTAATTCTTACCTCCTACAAGATCATCATCGTCATCCTCCTCGTCGTCATCGTCATCGGCGTCATTTTCGTCTTCAGGAAAACGTCGCTTTAACGAATTTAACGAATTAATGCCCACCAAGTCCTCACTATCGATCCGTGGGGATGCAATCTGTATCGGTGAAATGGCGTGGACATTCGCTGGGGATGTCGTCCGCTCAGCGAGCACCTGCTCGGGCTTCCCTTTAAACTGTGGCTCAGAGTGCATACGTTTCACGTCGCTCAGAATGTCTCTTATTAAGAAAGATGAACCAGTGGTTCTTGGTTGTTCTACTGGTAATAGCGGATGGTTCAATGAGTCTCCATTTAGGCGGCCGTGTGGCGAGGCCATGATATCTGGATCGCTGTCAATACTGCTAACGCTGCTTCGGCCACGGTCCCCCATGTGGGACGTCTCGCCTCGGGTATTATCGTCATCCATCTCCGGAACGGCTCTCATGTTTAATGTTTCGTCCTGAGAAATATTAAGTCCTCCCTTCGACATCACTTTCATGCACAACGGCGTACCTTGTAACGGTCTTCGAATGTTTTCCCAGCGCCACGTGTGACTGCAATTTCAACACAAATCTGGCAAAAAATAAAAAAAATACCAGGCGAAGTTATGGACGGCTTGTTGCATGGACCATCGATAACCAACTTCTCGAAGTGCCAGTCCTAGCGGTGTTCAGTGGTTTACCAGATCTAACCCTGTTAACAACTCTCAAGGTGGTTTGATAATAACCAACTGTGACAAGGGTTTAACATTTGAATGGTTTACCTCTTGTCGTAATTACTGTCTGAAACGTTCTCAGGTTATTGGACCCGTAAAGTACGTGTGAATGTATTTAGGGACGAACAGAACGACAATCCATGAATTGGACCAATAGGAAAGGAGACAGACGAGTGCACGCCCCCTCGGAGGGTACAATGATTATCTACGGTGACAGTAGCATGTCAGCGATAAACCAGAATATAACCCGAATAGGCGACAACAAAAGAATAATTTCACCTAGATCACTGAAACAGAAGGCGGTTCAAATTTCAACGGGCAGTTTGAACCGCGTTAAAATATGCATATAATGGCTGGGGTACTGGATGCTAATTAAAATGACTAATCGTGACACGCATTTAACACCATACTTGATAGTGTTTTCGTTAGTGGAAATAAATACAACTGGTGTTCATTAAACACACTTGCTTACATGCCGTCGTGTCATCATACATATATAATCTACTGGAGACAAGCGTTTCTCTGAAACCGCTAGACGCATTTCTAAACCACGTAGTCGTGTGAAACAAAGACAACGTCAACAAGAATAAAAAAATAGTGCAAAAAAACAGACAACACAATGACAAGAATTCCCCCGGATGCCGAGATGCAGAGTAACCATCCATAATCTTGCAGTGTAATTATTGCCTGCATTTATTGTGTTTTATTTATTTATTTCATGTCTCATAATAACATCGTGGATCACACAATTTCAGAGTTTTTCCCTTTCGCTCATACACGACCGATACCTGATTATTGTGGGTCTTCCAAATAAAAAACACCGAAATACAACGTAATTAAAATAACGCATCGCACAACACTGTATTTAAGCTTACCGACATAAGGTCCGAAGCACTCGCAATAAAATTATAGTTTTAGTGGGATATATCACGTGACTATATTGGTGTACACTGTGTACATTTCTGTTTACATCTGATGACATAAGTACCACTGATGGCGGGTCTACTCGTTATTAAGGATTACCATTATTTCATATTTAGAACACTGATTGTTGCATGCATATATAATACACCGTGGTTGAGTCATATTTCACTTGCGTGCATATGGACATATAATAAGTAAATTAAAACGAAACAAGACAATTGAAAAAAAATTGTTAATCCAAAATAAGGCAATCAGTTTTTATAATGTGCATTTCTCCATTCCATCTGCTCACGCGGTTGACGTATGTTGGTGGTGTTTTGTTTTAGATTGATTGAGTATGTAGTCTTATTGTGGCACATATTCTCTTAATATGGTTAGGAAATTAGAAAACCAATTCGTCGTTTCTTAATCAAGTAGCACCCAAACCAGTTTGTGGTTTCTTCTCGTCAAGATATCGCGGTTTATATAATGCAGTACTGAAGGAACATAGTTTTAAACTGGGATGGAAATGTATACCCCCATCCCATAGGAATACAACACATGCAGGTTGCGCTCAGCGTGTGCTGCAATACACACAAAATACAATTATATCAGTTTATTCGGCACCAATTTATTTACCATTCTCAGTTTCTTCCACCGACAGTTCTAAAATCTGAAGTATTTGCTAAGTTTCGAGGACACCACCGTAATGAGTACGGAACGAAAGATGGAATTCCATTTGATATACACAAAAACCCCGGTACAATTTACAAAATTGCTCGTAGAAGAGAACGAACACCGTATCCTACGCAACTTCTACTTTTCAGCGATCATGTATTTTCAAATACTTAAAATCAAACAAAATGGAAATAAGATATTATATGTGGGAAATAATATTAAATGAAATATTAAAAAAAAAAAATTGTTAGTGCTTTTGATCAGTGTCGGTGTCAGTATTTGTCGTACACTATTCGGGTCCCACCGGTAAACCGGCGTGCTATTTGTCAGACATTCAGACTAGCGATGCATTGCATAGGATTCATCTAGTAATGAAATTTCTATCTCCGTATCTATAATCCTCCTATGGATCGAAAATAAAATACTTTTTAGAACGGAAAGTGTGCTTAATTTGTTTTGGTGGGGAAACCTTTGGTATTCGTATTTGACGAGGACATAAAGTACGCATTACCATGTTACTGCATTATGATATCGATAACACTAACGCAGCGTGCATCGCCTAAACAATTACAAGACCCGGTTCGTTTTAACAAGATTACGTAGTTTGTTTTTCAAGCTTGCCCATTCCATTTCACACAGCACTCGTCCCATGTATAATAAAACAAAAGCTGTCGGTGATAATGAAGGGACAGGCGGCTAATCCCGTCGAATGAGCTCCTCTACTTTCACAAAGAAAAAGAGAAACAATAGAAATCACATGCAAATCTTCTCTGCCTTTTCCTTGTTCTCGTTTTGTAGTTTTTATTGAAAGTATAAAACAGTCATTATTCGAATAAAGAGAATCTTAATCATGCAATTAAAGTATCTATGAACGCTAAGTGGAAGTTGGTGGCGGAATTGCACCAGGCTGAATTTCCAATTTCATTATTATTATATATATATATATTTATATATCAGTATGCGCTTTCACGGTACCCATCACATACATCTTTACAAACGCGGATTACGTCCAATAGGACGCTATTAGAAAAAGAAAAGCCCCACAATTTACGCACTGAGTACTATGTTGGATGATAATCCGTAGAATACACCGAAAGTTATTCAAAGTTCAAAGCCAGCCGATTTGGGAAAGTATTGTTCTTATTAGATTGTTATCCTCGCTGGTTATTAAAACCTTACAGGGATAAATAAACATGCTTGCATTGGCAGTCACTTGTACACACCAAACGACATTAAGCCCCTATAGAAAGTGTTTCGGCTGGGCACGTGAAGTTAAGGTCCCAAGAATCCAGTATAGCCTTGAAGACTATTCTCTACATGTAGATGGGAATTACCAAGAACGACAAAAAGAGTGTCACAAGTTAGGAAACAGGAAAATAGTATTACAATTTCACAAAACAAAAATGCCGTAAAATTACCCTTTCTTTCAAATAGATAAATAAATAAATAAACATTTCATTTGAAAATATAAAAGACAGTTGAACCATCATTATAATCTCACAGTTTCAATATTGGCTTACTTTAAATACTCGTCTTTGCCAAGTACGGTTTGGGTATATATGCCCTGGTTATTCTCATAGAAAGTACTGCGAAGTGCTGCACATGTACATCAGCGTCTCGGTTCCAATGTCGGTCGCCGCCTAGCGAGACCAACATATCGTATAAAGCGTATACATTGATCGTGTATCGAGATTTATGGCCATAACGTGTCTTATCTCTCCCTTGAAACAACCATGAATAATTCATACGAAATGTTTATTTTAATGTGGGCAATTTCGCTCATTAGGAGGGTCGTTATTCTGAACACAGTGTCGTGCCAAGTACGCCGTTGTTCGCCCCTGATCCGAGTCGCCACGAGAATAGTCAGTTACGCCACAGTTAAAATGCTAAAAAAATCGAGTCCACCCCAGCTTAGGACATTATTTTAATAATAGTTTATTTATTTATTTATTTTTACGTGAATGAATATTGTTGGTGTTATTCACGCTATGATCTTCTTGACTGCACATTTCAGCATTGTCTGCCTTATACAAAAAAGGGTCACTATGGACGGGAACGGGTTACTATGGACGGGAAAGAGTCACCATGGACAGGTAAGGATCACCATGGTCGGGAACGGTACACTATGGACATGAACGGGTCAATATGGACGGGAACGAGTCACTATGGACGGGAACGGATCAGCATGGACGAATTCCTCAACCATGCAGCGTCACATGCGAAGAGATCGTTGTCATGGAGAGGAATTATTACACCTACTCGAATGCACCCCTCCCCTCACACCCATTGTGTTCACAACACTTAATCGATAAACTAGCCTTGCCTCGTAATCCTAATTATACCATCCAACCTTTGCAATCCAAGTCACGTGGTAGGCGGGGTACTGTCAACCCATAGCGCACAGCAAGCATGCCCTCCTCCTCTATTTCACCCCCCCCCCCATTAGTAGCATACACGGTACTCCCAAATGAGCGCTGATAAGCGTAGAGTGGGATTAAACCTCTATTCGATTTAGTGTCAGTATATCTACATATCTCGTTAGATCAGCGAGGATTAAGGCTTAATCTCTCTTCAATGATCAAACTTGTCAACACAGCCTCTATATGCCGATAAAAACCACATTTGAGTGTAATCCCCTGGGTCGGCTAAGATATCATATATACTTTGAACGGACCACTATGAGACACTTTATGACAAGTACAATAATAATATATCATTAAAATCCCGGTGACTTATCATATTTGTCTACACTGTCATCTGTTGTTAGAAAGGACGATTTTAACCCATAATAAATGCAGGTATATTCCCACAAAAGCGATGAATATGTGATCGCGAAATGGTAAAATATTTAAAGAGCGACTTTTACTGGTATTGGGCGTCCGTTCTGCAGTTAACACTGAAAATTGTGTGTGCATGGGGCTGTCCCCAATCATCGCGGTAGCCTATCTAACTTAACAGCGTCATCGACATGGCTAAATAATGTGAAATAATAAAGTACCGTTAATCAATCATAATCAATTGTTCGCAGACTCACTCAGACATTTTCAAAGTACAACAAAATTTACTTGGAAATTACTGCAAGCACCCGGGACCGTCGAGATTCAGATTCGTATTTGAACCATCGATTTCGAGTTATTGTATGAATTAATTATTTGCCGAGACCTTCGAGAGATCGTAATATAACATTGTTGACTGAATGAAGCGCATTGTATCAGAATAATTATATCCATAACAGCTGTCTAAGCTGCACATTTGGAGGTTGCTCAAATGGAAGATA